AGTCACACATACACACACACATTGTCATATGCACTCACACATACACATGCACACAGTCACACATACACACTCACATACACTTACAAAACACACACTGACACACTCATGTACACACTCTCCCTCTGTCACACACTTTCACAGACACGATTTCCTTGGAAACATCAGAGGTGCGGGATTGTTTTTTCTTTGTGAGCTCATCAAAGAACAGTGAAAGGTAACCCTTTGTGACCTGGCAAGGCAGGGGGGAACCTCATTGAGGTAGGATTAGCAGGCCCCTCCTTGGGGCAATGCTACTTTCTTTCTTCAGGCAGCCTTTTCAGAAAGGGGAAGTGTCCTCTCCCGCTCCAGCAGCTCAAGCTGGAAGCCGCCTCAGGCTTCCACAATAATGAGCAGGAGAAAGCTGTGATAGAATTCTTATTTGTGAAAAGCATCGGGGTGGAGCAAAGATGGCTGAGCGAAGCAGTGACTTGCTTAAGCTCTCCCCCCAAACCCCTCCAAATACTCATTAAAAATGGCTCTAAATAAATCCTGACGCAGCAGAACCCACAAAAAGACAGAGTGAAACAAATTTCCAGCCCAAGACAACCTGGAAGATTGATTAGAAAGGTGTATCACGCCGGGCTGGGGGAGAGGGCGCAGCGAACCTGGAGCAGGCCTCAGAGGAATGAATCTCGGGCAGCTGTGGAGGTTTCCAGACTCCTCAATTCACGAATGCCAAAGACAACTTACAAAGTCAGTGGGAAAAGTCTGTTTCTGTCGGTGCTGAGAAAGGAAGGCGGGGTCTCAGCTCCATTCCCCAAGAGTGTGGCCCGGGGGGGGGGGCAGCTGCTTCCCGAGCTTCTGGCCCACAGACTGAGGGGGAATCCAGTGGCTGATCAGAGAGGGACTGCAGGGATCTCTTTGCCAGTGCTGGGCAGGAATCTCTTGCTTTGCCTGTGTGGGATCTGGGTCACAGTTCTGGGTGGCAGTGTTGGGGTGAGGAGGAGCGCTGGTGTGGTGGAGCTTAGAGTGGGCTGTGGAGAGGAACCCTTCCTCACAGTTACAGGACAGAAAGGAGTACTTGTAGTCGCAGGCCAGGAAAGGAGTAAACACCTCGCCCCTTATCATACCACCTTGGAAGAACTGAAAATTTACAGGTCCCTACAAGTATCTCTGAAAACAGCTGTACAAACCCCGAAGCTTGGGACAGTACATTCTCCACATTGGAAGCAGACTCTTACCTTAACAAAGAGTTTAAAACTCAAGTAATTGGCCGGGATCATGAGCAAGCAGCGCAAAAAGAGTCAGACTATATTATCTTACTTTGGTGAAAAGAAGATCAAAATATACAACCAGAAGAAGACAACAAAGTCAAAGCTCCTACATCCAAAGCCTCCAAGAAAAATATGAATCAGTCCCAGGCCTTGGAAGAGCTCAAAAGGGATTTTGAGAAGCAAGTAAGGGAAGCAGAGGAAAAAACTGGAAAGAGAAATGAGAGTGATGCAAGAAAATCATGAAAAACAAGTCAACAGCTTGCTAAAGGAGACCCAAAAAAATACTGAAGAAAATAACACCTTAAAAAATAGCCTAACCCAAATGGCAAAAGAGGTCCAAAAAGCCAATGAGGAGAAAAATGCCCTAAAAAGAAAAATTGGCCAAATGGAAAAGGAAGTCCAAAAGACTACTGAAGAAAATACTTCCTTAAAAATTAGAATAGAGCAATTGGAAGCTAGTGACTTTATGAGAAATCAAGACACTGTAAAACAAATCCAAAAGAATGAAAAATTAGAAAACAATGTGAAATATCTCATTGGAAAAACAACTGACCTGGAAAATAGATCCAGGAGAGAGAATTTAAAAATTATTGGACTATCTGAAAGCCATGATCAAAAAAAGAGCCTAGACATCATCTTTCAAGAAATTATCAAGGAAAACTGCCCTGATATAGTTGAACCAGAGGGCACAATAGAAATTGAAAGAATCCACAGATCTCCTCCTGAAAGAGATCCCCAAAGGAAAACTCCTAGGAATAGTGTAGCCAAATTCCAGAGTTCCCAGGTCAAGGAGAAAATATTACAAGCTGCCAGAAGGAAACAATTCAAGTACTGTGGAAACACAATCAGGATAACACAAGATTTAGCAGCTTCTACATTAAAGGACCGCAGGGCATGGAATATAATATTCTGGAGGGCAAAGGAGATAGGATTACAACCAAGAATCACCTACCCAGCAAAACTGAGTATAATCCTTCAGGGGAAAAAATGGTCATTCAGTGAAATAGAGGACTTTCAAGCATTCCTGATGAAAAGACCAGAGCTGAATAGAAAATTTGACTTTCAAATACAGGACTCAAGTGGAACATGAAGAGGTAAACAGGAAAGAGAAATCATAAGAGACTTATTAAGATTGAACTGTTTACATTCCTGCATGGAAAGATGACATAACTCATGAGACCTTTGTCAGTATTAGGGTAGTTGGAGGAAAAAAATTATATGTATGGATAGATAGATAGATAGATAGATAGATAGATAGATAGACAGATAGATAGATAGATAGAAGGCACAGGGTGAGTTGAAGATTAAGGGGTCATATCTGGAGAATAAAATTAAGGGATGAGGGAGGATTATACTCAGAGAAGAAGAAAGGGAGAGGTAGAATGGGGTAAATTATCTCACAAAAAAAACAGAAAAGAAAAGTCTCTTACAGTGGAGGGGAAAGGGGAAGGTGAGAGGGAATGAGTGAATCTTATTCTCATAGGATTTGGCTTAAGGAGGGAATAACATACACATTCAGTTGGGTATGGAAATTTGTCTTACCCTACAAGAAAATAGGGGGAAAAGGGGACAAGAGAGCAGGGGGATAATAGAGAGGAGGGCAGATTGGAAAAGGGTGTAATCAGAAGTAAATACTTCTGAGGAGGAACAGGGTCAAAAGAAAGAATAGAATAAATGGGAGGGCAGAATAGGATTAAGGGAAATAGAGTTAGTTTTTCACAACATGTCTACTATGGAAGTGTTTTGCATAACTGCACATGTACAACCTATATTGAGTTGCTTGCCTTTTCAATGAGGGTGGGTGGGGAGGGAGGAAGAGAGAAAATTTGAAACCTAAAGTTTTAAAAACATATGTTTAAAAAAATGTTTTCACATGCTACCCGGAAATAAGAAATACAGGAAATGGGGTACAGAAGTCTATCCTGCCCTACAGGAAAATAGAAGGGGAAGGGGATAAGAGAAGGGGGGAGAGAAAGAAAAGAGGACAGACTAGGGGAAGGAATATTCAGAGTGAATGCCATCTTGGGGTGGGGGGAGGGTTGAGACGGCGTGAAAATTTGGAACTCAAAAACTTGTGGAAATGAATGTTGAAAACTACAAATAAATAAATTTATATTTAAAAAAAGAAAAAGAAGAAAAGAAAAGAAGAAAAAAAAGAAAAGAAAAGAAAAGAAAAGAAAAGAAAAGAAAAGAAAAGAAAAGAAAGAAAAAAAGAAAAGAAAAAAGAAAAGAAAAGCATCCTTTGCTGGCCTTCCTCTCCTGGTGATTTTAAAGCACTGAGGTGCTTTTGCTCAGCAGGTCTCACTGCTTTTGCTGCAAAATGAACAAGGACCACATTTTATTTTCATCCTCTATTAGATCAAATTCAACAGACATTTAAAAAGTACCTACTATGTGTCAGGCACTGTGGATACAAAGGCAAAAATGAGACAGTCCCTGCCCTCAAGGACCTTTTACTTTACTGGGATAACATAACACATATATAGATAAATACAAGATAATTTGGGGAAAGGAAAGGTATTAACAACCAGGGTGGAGTGGGGTGGGATTGAGGAAAAGTTTTGTGTAAAAGGTGGCACCTCAGATGTGCTTTTCAGGAAGCTAAGGACCCTAAGAGGTGTTAATGAGAGGGCAGGGCATTCTATGCATGGGGGAAGCCTGTGTAAGACAGGGAAACAGGAGACTGGAATGTCAGGTGTGGGAAACACATTGGCGGGCTGGAATTTAGAGTGTGTGAGGGCATATAATAGGGGAAAAAAAACCAGTTGAAAGGGAGATAATGAGCTTTAGGATGTAGTGTAGACTGAGGCTTATTTTGCCCATGGCCAATGCAGGAAATCTGTATTGTTTGACCATGCATAATTTGTTACAAAGATTGAGCTATTGCTCAATACTCCCCCACGCCCACCACAACGAAAGGCTGGAGAGGGAAAAATAGATTTTTGTTGAATGAAAAAATTTAAGGGGAATAAGCACTTATTCCGCACCTACTGTATGCCACATATTGCATGTGCTAGCTGCTTTACAAATATTATCTCATTTGATCCTTACAACACTGGGTTTAAAAAGGGAGAGAAAGAAAAGGGAGGGAGATTAAGTTTGAGAAGGCTTTCAATGCCAGTTTGAGGATTTTTGTATTTTATCCTAGAGGTAATAGGGAGCTACTAGTGGTTTTTGAGTAGGAGTCTGAGAAGGGGATAGAGTGGCATGGTCAGATTAATGTCTTGGGAATACTGATTCACCAGTTGGGAAGGATGGATTAGAAGGGCGATGGCCTGGAAGCAGAGAGACTTAAAGAAGAGGTGCACTTACCCCAAGTGACCCAGCGGTAGAGGCCAGGAACAAGCCAGCTGGCTTGCTGGCTCTGGGCCTCTCCCCCTACTCACCTCACCGCCCACTCCTTTCGCCTCTGCCTCAGCTCCTGCCTCCAAGTGACCAGGTGGCAAGATGGCTACCATCCTTCAGTTATCACAGTACTGTACCTTGAGAACGGACAGCATCAGCACTGTGATAACTGAGCCAGGGCAGCCCGTCAGTCATCGCGTCTGCTCGGCCGCCAAAGCGTGGACGAATTCCATCGCCAGGCTCGCTGGCTTTCCTAGACTTTGCGGGCTGTAGTCCGTGGCTCCCTGGTGGCAGAAAGGGGAGCAGCTCCGCAAGTGGTGAGGCTGAAATCGGCAACAGCCCAGCCGAATCACAAAGAAATGGATGGGACGGATGATGGGTCAAGTGCACGAGTATACTCACTCATTGATGAGGTGAGCCAGCGCAGATTCTGCCGCTGATAATACAGCAGCGAAGCACGAGGCGCTCCGGCTGTTTCATTCATTGTTCCACCTCTGCAACGCACTGCTTTCTTCAGCAGCATCTCCCTGATCTCAAACTGGGAAACCAGGAAACTTAGACCCCCAATCCCAGAGGTTGCACTGGACAGCCCCAAATATGCAGATACACACGAGCTCCCAGACTCCCCAGGCAGGTGCTTTGTTCGTGAGGGGGGAAGGTCACACATATAGAGCTTCTGGCAGGTAAAATGTCAACTGTCAGAATTGCAAGTGCTTCTAGGAAGGAAAAAAATAAAGAAAATTATTAAGCATCAATTATTATAACCATTATATAGAAAAGGCCAACAATGCAGCTAATGATGCTGAAAACGACAAACTCTACCCCTCTTAGTCACAGTCATCTTTTGCGACTTTTATGTTAATCTCAGTCCTCTGTGTTCAAGGGCCACAAATGCACTGTGGTCAAAGTGTGCCTGGCAACCTCCAGAATTCCTAAAAACCAACCAGAAAGGAAACAATCTCCTGGTGAGCTCTTGCCTTGTTTTGCCTGGGCTCAGGTCTCCATCTCTCTTCTCTGTCCTCCCCACACTATACTGCCACTGCATGCCATACCTAGACGTGTAGATTCCTCCCCTGGAGCGCAGGGGCTGTCCTGCTTGCCTGCTCTTCTACCTGCAGAATTTATCACAGTTTTTGTTTGTTGTTGTTGTTCGATTGTGTCCAACTCTTCATGATCCCATTTATTTTATTTTGTTTTGTCAAAGATAACTGGAATGGCTTGCCATTTCCTTCTTATTTTACAGATGAGAAAACTGAGGCAGTGAAGTGACTTGCCCAGGGTAACACAGCTAGTAAGTGTCTGAAGCCAGATTTGAAACATTTTTTTTCTTTTTTAAGGCAATTGGGGTTAAGTGACTTGCCCAGGGTCACAGAGCTACTAAGTGTCAAGTGTTCGGTCTGAGGCCGGATTTGAACTCAGGTCCTCCTGACTTCAGGCCTGGCACTCTATCCACTGTACCACCTAGCTGCTTAATAAACATATTCTCTGTCTCTCTCTGTATATATAATATATATATAATATATATACATATATGTGTATGTATATATGTATATACACATATATATGAATGTACATAAATATACATTATATACAAATATATTATATTCTGTATATATTATATTACATATTTAAGTATTTAATACATGAAAATATAAATAAACATATGATATGAAATGTATATACATACATATACATAGATATAAGATGTATATGTGTGTATAGATATGCACATGCATCATTTGCTATCATACATTCAACTTCCAGGGCATGTGAGAGACGAGTCTCTAAACCTTGGAGTGCATTGTTCATGTTGGCATAAGCAGGTCACTTCACCCTTCCGAACCTTAGTTTCCTCTCTTGTAAAATGAGGGAGGTCGGCTAGGTGGCCCCTTAGGTCCCTTCCAGCTCTAAATCTGTGATTCTATGAGTGACTGTCTGGTGACTTGCTTCTAACTGTCTAGTATATGTTTACATGGTCTAAGATGAAGCTTGTAGACTTCAAGCTGAAAGGAACCCCAGGATGCTTCTACGTTTCTAAGCCTCATAGAGTATCAACCTCACAAGGCTGTCGTGGAGACCAGCTAAAGAAAGGTAGGTGAGGTGCTTGACTGTACCAAAGTTCTACACAGAAGGGGGCACGGAAATGGTTGGCAGAATTGACCATCATCAATAAACATGGCAAGCCAGCGGTACAAAGATGTACATTCACACCCTGGAGGTGTGAATCCTGCAGAAGAGAGAGCTCTGTTCTGATTGGCCCCAGAGGACAGAGACAGGAGCAACAGGGGGACATGCAAAGAGCTGCATGTCAGGAAACACTGCCTAGAAATGAGGGCTGCTCCAAAGTGGCCTAGTTGGCCTCAGAGCTGGTGGCTTCTCCCTCCCCGGAAGTTTTTCAGCGGAAGCTGGATAATCACCTGCCAGGTACAGTGGAGAGGGGAGTCTTTTTAGGATACGGATTGGCCTGAATGGCCTCTAAGATCCTGTCCCACTCTGAAATACCATAATCAGAGAGCTGGGTGGTACAGTGGATAGAGCACCATGCCTGGAGTCAGGAAAACTCATCTTCCTAAGTTCAAATCTGGACTCGGACACTTCCTAGCTGTGTGACCCTGGGCAAGTCACTTCACACTGTTTGCTTCAGTTTCCTCATCTGTAAAATGAGCAGGAGAGGGTATGGCAAACCACTCCAGTATCTTTAGCAAAAAACAAACAAACCAACCCAAATGGGGCCACTGAAAGTCAAACATGACTGAATAAATGACTGAACAACAAGTCTAATCTCATTTAACAGAGAAGGGAACTGAGAGCCAGAGAGACTTAGTGATTTTCCCACCATCCCAAACACAGTAAGCAAAAGAGCCAGGATTTGAATCCTGGTCCTTTGACTCCCCAAACCCTGTGTTTTACCTAGTATCAGGCAACTTCTTGTTGACATGACATATCTTTATTTATATAAATATCTAACATTTAGAGAGTCTTTAAAAGCCTGCAAAGTACTTTACACACACACACACACACACACACACACACACACACACACACACACACCCAAATCTGCAAAGTAGGCACTTCAAGCATTGTTATCCCCATCTTACAAAAGAAGAAACAGAGGCTGAGATTAAATAATTTGCCCATGCTCACACAGCCAACCAACGAGAGGCAAGATAGTAGTAAAAGACAACTTTCCATAATTTACAGCACTTTACATAATTAAATGATTTGATCCTTACAACAGCCTCGTGAGAGGGGTGCTATTATTAACCCCATTATACAAATGAGAAAACTGAGGGACAGCGAGGTCATGTCACTTGCCCAGGAATACACAGCTGGTGTGACCCAGATGTTTACAGTTCCAAGAGCAGCACTCTATCCCAATAGGCATTTCCAGAATGCCTTTTTTTCTTCCTTTTAACAAATAGATTAGCAATATATCCCCAAAAAGGACACTTAAAACTGTGACTCATTCCATGTCTGTTGTGGAAATAACTCTCAGTGGAGCTTTATAAGTAAAGAATTGCAGGTTGTTTAATTAAAAAGTGAATTATTTAATTAGAAATTGAGTATCCTTCAAAGACAGCCTATATAGACTGAATATTAGTATATTACTTCAAAGGACTTAGTTTTTGATAAATGAAGCAATTCGTGTTAAAGAATACTGACCACTAATAAAAGTCGGGGTGGGGGGGGCATAAATGTGCCTGGCTCCAGACTAATTTCCTCTCTTCTTTGTTTTTCTTTCCTCTAAGTAGAAGAGGAGTTATCAGGACTGTGAGATTAACTTTGCATAAGTGACACCTATCTGATCTTCAGCAAAGTGATTTCTCCAGAAAGAAGCCCTACTGTGTGGGGTAAAACCTATTACTGCCCTAAGCTCAGAAACCTTTCAAATGCAGACAAGTCTAGACTCTACTATGGCTGCAGTACACTGGTGAAACATGAGAGGGAGCCAAAGATGCAAACTTGGCCTTGGTACCCCTGGCTTCCTGGAAATCGCTGCACATTTTTAACCAAATTATAAACATGTGTTACGTAAACAAAGACCTGGGATTACTGTGGAATAACACTGGAGATCTCTGACCCAACAGGATGGATGACTGGGCTCACCCAGAGTGGCCTCGCGCTTCTAAGCTGACCATCGTCAGCGCTTGTAAAAGTGAATTCCTGGCCCTGAAATAATGAAATAGTGGGGGGGGGGGAGGGAAAAAATTGACTTCTTCCAGCAAATAAACGATCAGAGCTACTTAACAGTTATCTGCCTGGCCATTAGCAAGCATTTTACCGCCTCCATAATGCCTCTGTAAAGCTGAAATGCCTTCTATGAACCTGGCAGCAAATGCCAAATGCTCGCAGTAACTCACTGAACCATCCTGTCAACCAGACATTTGTTTTTCTTTCTCTTTTCTCCTATCATGGGGTATCCTCTTTTTTCTGGGTTTGTTTTTTGTAGGGACTTGTGCTTTCTTTGATATAAGGAACTCACAGTGTGGGAAAAAGCTCCCTCTACTTATATAAGTGGCAACCTGTTTGGCACAGACTTACCCAGTTGCCCGGGGCACTTAAATGTGAAGCGATTTGTCCCTGGTCATATAGCTGGCATGTGTTATGATTTCAACCTAGATATTCCCAACACTAAAACTGGCCCTATACCCCTTGCACTCTTTGGCCTCTCTGGGAAATCACTTATTTTTAAGAATACATAGAATAAGCAAAAAAAAAGTTAAACCATCTTCATTCTGTGGCTATGAATGGACTCAGAAGAACACTATTCACGGAATGGCTCTAATAAATTCCAGAAAGAAAATTAACAGGCTCACAGAACTTATTATAAGCTTAGAAATTTCATTTATTGTTATTATTCCAGACCTGCAATCTCAATCATGCAGGCAATGCCTAGTGAGGAAAGTCCCTCTGTAGAAGCAGACTAGCCAATGGTATTCTGGAGGTCGCCCAGGGGTGTTATAAGGTTATGTGATTTGCCCAGGCTCACTCAGTCCATCAGTCTGGGTCAAAGAGGACTGGAACAAAGGTAGTACTAACACCAAGGCTAGCATTCAATCAACTGCACTATGTTGTTACTCTAAGTTTTATTCAGAGAAATTATTCCTTATAAATGTTGGTACTTTAACCCCCCAAACAGAATCTTTTATTGTCTTTTCTGCAGATTTCCTTGGCATGAATAGAAATCTGTTTTTTCTATCGGGCCAAGCATGTATATATAACAATATATAGTTTGTGAAAACTCCCTCTGCTGATGCAGACCTGGATTCGTCAGCAACTTATGGTCTCAGCAAATTGCTGGAGAGAATGAAAGCTGAGGTAACTTGGCTGGCGTCACACCGCCACCATGTGTAAGAAGTGGGATTCAAACCCAGGACTTCCCCAGTTGAAGTTCAGCCACCTATTCACTATGCAACATTGCCTCTTACTGTATAATTATAAACAATAAAGGAGAGGGGAGTGACAGTGGTGATTTGCAACGGTTTTTCCTCTTGGGAGCAAATTCATTTTTTAAACCTTCCACTTTTGTTAGGGAGATGGCACAGCACAGTGTTAAGAGCCCTGGATTTAGAATCTAAGGACCTGAGCTGGAATCCTAGGAAATTACTTACTCTTTCTGGGCCTCAGTTTCCTCCTCTGTAAGAGGAGGGAGTTGGAGGACATGGCCTCTAAAGTCCCTTCCAGCTCCAAATCGATGAATTTCCATAAAGTAGCA